CAGTTTTAAAATTACCACATTTCAATGGATAATGTAGAATTTCTCTTAATTATTATTTCAATCTATCAATTTAAAGAATTAACTTAAAAATTAGAATATCACATCATCACCATAAAAAAATGTCACATCTGTTGCGACGAATATCAATCCATCTTTTACGTGATGTTGAGAGAATTCTCAGAAGTGTGAGAGAGCAATAAATTAAAAAGTGGGCTTAAATATATTTTTAGTACCTTAAATTCAGGTAAATCTATTTTTAATTTTTTAAATTTAAAATTATTATTTTTAATTTTTGTAATTTTAAAAATCTTATTTTAGTTCTTATATTCAAATTTTGTTAAGAAATTTATAAAATATTATTGTATAAAATCTACTTATTGGTATCTCTATTAGTGAAAATATCACATTAAATTCGGTTGATATTGTATAACTGTCTTAATTAGTCACTTTCAAATATGTTATTGGTAATCTAAGAGACTAAAATAAAATTTTTTAAAATTACATGGACTAAAAACAACAATTTTAAATTTAAGGAACTAAAAATAAATTTATCTTAAATTTGAAGGACTAAAAACATATTTAAGTCAAAAAAGTGAGAGAATTTTCCTTTTTTTGGCAAACTTCCTTTCAATTTGTAAAGTTTAACATATTTATTATACATGATAATTTATAATTGGATGACACCGTTAACATTCATACATACTAATTTTTTAAATTAGAGTATAATAACAATCAATATGCACAAGAAAAAATTAGGACAAAAATCCAACCATTTTTTTTCCTGATTAAACGAAATCTAGTAATTGTACATTTGTACAGTAATTTAATATTGATTTTTTTTTGTTGAAAAAAACTTGTTTTTCTCTCCATGCTAATAATCAATGGAGCAAAGCTTGAAAGAGAACACCCCCCTCCCCTCCACAAATATTAGTTCTTCAACACTGAGATGCGTAAAATATGAACTAGTAGTATTTTTGGGCTTGTCTGATTCAAGTTATAGGCTAAACTCAAAATGCTTCAAGTTAATTTTCCTCTTCTCATATTTCTCTTCGATCAAATATATATTAATATTTTTATTTTATATTTTTTTTCAGCAAAGAAAGATGTGTTTAAAACAATCTCAAACTGTAAAATTATTTTGAATGTGTATTAATATTATAAGTTTATTATTAATTTAGTGAAAAAGCTTTATATTTTTGCCTTTTTTTGTTCAATGACTATTGTTGGGTTAAACGACCATTACTTGTCGACAGAAAAGGCCAAGAGGAGTAGAGTATCACAGTTTCTGTTTCTTTTTCTTTTTCTTTTTTATTCTTTTCATTTCATCCATTGTCATATGTTATGGTGGGCCTAGCTTCGCCCACTGTTTCACACATATATGCATATATATTTTTATTTATACAAAAAATATGAATGTTTTTAAATTTAGTCATATTTAAAAAATCAATAAGGATGACTATATTTTTGTTTGAAATACTTTGAACGGATAATAAAGAATTTTCCATTATCCAAATTGTCATGCACTGAAAAATGAAAATAAGAAAATAGAAGTTGTGTCCATACACGATTCTTTCTTTTATTTGTGGAATGTTGTAATTTTATAAACACTAAAATATTGTGGTATGAGACTCACGGCCATACGACATCAAAAGTTGAGTCATATAAATGTTGATAAGATTTGGTCACAGATTTGAGCCTACTAGTTGTGTAAGAGGTGATATGTGTAGGACATCAAATTTGTACAACATTATTGTCACAACTGCAAATAGATGATACACATTGCTTTATTTAAAATTAACGCCAAATAAAATTGTTTTTTTTTTATGCATATTATATGTGTAAGTACGTAATATTTTGTTTGTATGTCATGGAAGGAAGAATCAACTAGGAACATGTTGAAAGAGTACAAACCAAGTGGGAAATGATAGCTGTTATAGCGGAAAATTGTAACTCATACCCAATTTTATTCTAATGGAATACATTATAAGAAACTTCAAGAAACTCAATTTTATATTTTTTAACTTTGACTTAATTATGTACAGTTGCTTGACTCTCACTAGGTTTAAAATATTGTTTTTGAATGGTAAAGAACAATTATTTATTGAAGGGATTGAAGAAAAAAAATTGAGTAACTTTCATCTGGAATTGCTCCAACAAGAAAGTTGCTTCAAACATCTGAAACTTCATTGAAACACCTCCGTAAGCATCTCCTAGTGGAGATGCTCTTAATTATAACTTTACATTTATGTAGTTAATAATTAGTGGATTCAACTCCCATAACTATCAAATATTATGCTATGTTAAACTTGCAATTTATAACTAATTAACCCCCTTTTCCTTTGATTTAAATGTAACACTTCTTACAAAAGGGATATAATCTTGACATGTGACTCTACTGCTCATTTAAGTCTCTTCGCTTCTACTAATTTGGACTTAAGATCGAATATAATTTTTGTTGTAATTTATATCTTTTCTACGAACTTACGTTAAAAATGAGTAAACGATTTACAATCTTACTAGAAATTTTTAAAGACGTTAGTAGCTCTGGTCTTTTATTATTAAGAACAAAAGAATCTAGTTAATCTTAAACAATTTCAATTAGCTCCTCTTATTGTTAAAGAAAAAATAATAACTATTTATGTAAAACTACATGTTTATTAGTTATTATTAATTTTGTTGAATTATATGTTGTGGTGATATTGTTGTTTATGTGTTGAGTAACTATGAAAAATTTGGAATTCTCCGAGTTTAGGAAAAGATACATAAGATTTCTTTTAAGAATTGAACTTTAGAAGTTCATTCTTAAGAAATCTTAGAGGATAGTAGAGAGAGAAACTCTAAGAATTCTTCTTTTTCTTTCTAGTCTTCTCGAGTGTGTAGAAGATCATAGTGAGCAACGACTTGGTGATTCAAGGCTATTAAAGTTGAGAATCCAAGTGGGTGTTGTGTGGTGTAGAGCTTCTTGGAGTTAGCTTAGAACCTGTCTCATTCTTCCTCTTCTTCCTTTGATTCTTGTTGATTTTGAGGTAAAGGAAGCTAGAACTATAGTTCTTGCTAAATTTTGAAGTTGCTTATGGGTTTTGTTCCTTATAATAAATTTTAAAAAATGCGCTACAGTGGTCGTTTAGCCCTATTGTTGACTTTCAAACGTCCGAACACTGCGCATAAATGTAAAATCAACTTTTGGATTGAGAATGAAGCAAAGCTGCTATTATATGCAAGTATGGCAAGTATGGTAATTAAATAAACTTTTATTGTTTGACTTCATTCCAACTTTAATTTGGATTCGGGTTCAATTTTTTTCTCAATTTGTAAAAGAAAGAATGTAACTGGATTCATAAATATAAACTTTCGTCTATCTTTTTTTGGTACATTATTTTTTTTGGTACCTAAATTCTCAGAATCTGATAAAATCCATATGAATAAAGTTGGGTTCAGAATTTTTATCTAGTTTTTTTATAAAAAATTTGCCCCAAACCCATCTCACCTTTTTAAAATAATAAAAAAAAAAAACAGAGAGAGAAGGATGCAAAACCTACCTGCCCGCTCCCATGTGAAATTTAATTATTATATTTAATAATGTAAAAATGACACTTTGTGTACGTATTTTGTTTAAAAAATAAATGAAATTAAATATATGTGAATGGATAACGATCAAAAGATGTGACCGATTTTTAGTAGTTATTTAAAAAGTGTGAAAAAATTTAAAAATAAATTTATAGTAAAAAAAATATTTAAGAATAAGAAAAATGCTAGTAAAATACTTTCTCTTACACACTTATATATATATATATAT